TCAGCATGTGAAACATCTGGCAGAGTAAGCACTGTACACTTCAGGACTATGGAAATCCATTTCAATCAGCAGCAAATGACTAAATACATAAATACATGTGCCTGTGAAATTAATACATATGGCTGTGATATCAATCCTGAAATAACTAAATGAGGTTAAATAACTACATTCTATTTAGTGCAGCGAACTTTGATTACCTAGTGCCACATGGATTTCCATCTGGTGGTTCTCTGACCATTCGGACCAACGCATCAGCACACCAATTAGCTAGCTAGCGCACCTCCGCTAACTGAATGGCCGTCTCTGTAGCTGCCGTTGCTCTCCTCTCAGCGAAATTACGTTGGTCTGAATCCTTTCATGTGAATATTGAATATAAAAATACAACAACAACAACAACAAAAAAGGGGTGGGGGGGGGCTGGAGCTCGGCAGTAGGGCGGGTTGGCGGGTTCGAACCCCTGGCACTTCCTATCCGCATGTTGTAGTGTTTCACAGCAGCCCACTGCTCATAGATGTTTAGGAGGGGTTGAATGAAATAGTCCTGTATGCACCTGTATGTATATGATGATTCTAATAAAAGCTTTTCAAATAAAAAATGATGGCAAATAAATGTGGCATTAGGAACTAAAGTCCGCTGAAATAAATAAAATAAAATATTTATTTATTGAACAATATTTACTTATTTATATCTAAATAAATACATTTATTTATTTATATATATATTTTATTTCACAGGCATATTCACATCTATCTAACTATCTAACATTGAATCATATGGCATGCCATGCAGGACACTGCTTCACTCACGTGCGATGGACTCCAGGTTGAACTCTGAGCCGGGCTCGTAGTCGCAGTAGATATTGAGGAACGGCGTGGCCTTGTCACCAGAGTCCTGCAGGAGTTCAGTCGTTATCAACAATGCTTCTAGAATTGTAGCAAAGTATCGACAACCTTCATAGCAAAGTATGCACACGCTATGACTCGTACGCATCGATATATATATGCAAACGTACCTTTACGAATGTGATGCCCACCATCAGGCCGCTTTTGGGTGGAGACTTGTTGAAGGCGTCGATCGATACAATCTCTGCATCAACTAGATAAAGAACACAGCATCAACCAACATGAACCAAAGACAACTCAGCTGCAGCACAAGTTTCAGGATCAAAGTATTCTTAGTTACAAAAACTGCATCACGAAAAGAAAATCTGATCTTCAACTACTGATGGGGCCATGGCCGGTTGGTTTACTGAGGTTGTTTGAGGCAGAAAACACATTTGATCTGAATTTGCTATGTTTCATACTGTATTGAAGAATACAAATTGCTGTTGAAAAAAATAGCTAATGGATAAAGGTATCCTGCATTTGTGAAGACGCAAACAGCTAACATAAAGTTAAGGTCTTGCCCAACATTTGATTCTTATTTATAAAAAACAAAAATTGGCTACCCTTGAATTTGTGAGCTTTAAATTCACTTTTCATCATGTCATGTGGAATACAATTGTTTACACAGTTGAGAGGAAGAATAGAGATGTCACTGTTCAGCACATCTGGAAAAAGACATGGAAACATGACATCATGTGTGCTTCCTGCAGCAGAGGAAGGAGCCCCACTGCTGCAGAAGTCTGATGGATGGTCTGGTCTGGAGTTTTACATTGCTTTACAGCTTATGTGATGATACAACCTGATTTTTGTACACAAAATAAACAGGTCAGACCTGGTTCTTATGCTCATTATATTATATCATACAACAGCTGAATTGATCAGTTAGCTGTGCTTCTTTTAGTTACAGTAGTACAATGTCTTTAACCTTTTTTCTTTAACCCAGTTTTTGTGTTTATTTGTACATGATTACAGTAAGTATGTCTGCCATGTTGGCCAATATATGTGCAGTGGTGGAAGAAGTATTCAGATCCTTTATTTAAGTGAACGTAGAAATAGAAAACGATGAAATGGACCAAAATAGTTTAACATGCACTTAAATGATCTTAAATGAAAGTAATCGATCTAGAGCAGGGGTGTCAAACTCCCGGCCCGCGGGCCGAATCCGCCCCGCCACGTCATTTTATGTGGCCCGCGAATCCGTCAGCAAAAACAAAAAAAAATGTTTTCTTTTTTTTAAAGTTAGACTTGATAATAGAAATATCCCCATAGTCGAAGTTATGAGATAGAAAGTCGAAGTTATGAGATAGAAAGTCAAAGTTATGAGATAGAAAGTCAAAGTTATGAGATAGAAAGTCATAATTCTGAGATAGAAAGTCATAATTCTGAGATTGAAAGTCAAAATTATGAGATACTTAAACACACAGTCACAGAAGCAGCTCTGTGGCTGGTTACTGTACATTTGACATATAAATGTATTGTGAGCACATTGAAGATACTTTAAACTTGGCTTTAAAACACATGAAATACTTCATGTGGGATTGTGCAAACGCACCCTTGAAAGGATTTGAAGCTTTGAACAAAGTTATTGTAATAACTTGTTTGATATTTGTCTTTGATATTTTCTTTAATAGTTTGATCTTTGATAGAGTAATGTGGGTTTCTTAACCCTAAATTAAAAAGATTTAAGTTATAATAATAGAAATGTGCTTAAATATATTTTTACATTTATATAACTGCATGTACAATATTTTTACACTTGAATAAACAATAATCAAATGCAGAGAGTTATTTAACAATATGTTAGGAGTAGTTACATTTTCAACCGGCCCTTTGAGGGCGACCGTGATGCTGATGTGGCCCAGAGTGAAAATGAGTTTGAGACCCCTGATCTAGAGAAATGCCTCCTGTCACTGTTATGCCATGATATACTATATTACTGAATACTGACATGTTACTGTTGGCTTGAGGGGGGGGGGGGGTATTGAACTATATAACATACTGTTATGCAGCTTAATCTATAATACTGCAACAAAAAAAGTATAAAAGCTCATCAGAAGTTCTGTATGTAAAATACTAAACAGCAAAGTAGCTGTGGCTGTCAGATGAACGCAGTAAAAAGCACAATAAGTCCATGTGAAATGTGGAGAGGAAGTATTAGGATCGAGTGGTGGGCACCTGGGATGTAGGTGAACTGAACCTCCTTAGCCACAGGTCGGATCTTGTGCTGCAGCTCCTGGTACCTGAAACACACCACCTTCCCCTTGAGAGTGGCCGCTAACAGCTCCTGCTCCCCGGCCTGACACAGTCCGTAGATGTTACTCTGCGACGGGAAGCGGCTGAAACTGTCCTCCGCGAAGGGATACGTCTCTCGAAGCATCCTGCAGGACGGGACTCAACTCCAGAATTGTATCAGAAATGTCAAGAATTAAGATTGTTCATGTTTGTTTTTTGTGGCTGCTGAACCCCTTTTAAGTTAAATTTGAATTAGCTTGAACGAGAAAAGGGAATTCCCGGTCCTTCCTTTCAAAATACAGTCACTCACTACAAAAGTGTTAATGTAACGCTCGTTTATCAGTAATAATAAATTATATTGTATTTTAATGAAAGAAATTCAAAGGCTTGGAGATATTCCTTAACAATTCTTCCGGTTGTCATGAAGCAAAACATCCGGGGTGGAAGGGGTAACGGTAACGTTCAAGTTTATTGGAAATATCATATTTAGTGCTCCTAAACGATCCAGGGAAGAGGAAAATAAAGCTGTTTGCCTGGAAAAAAAGTTCAACATAGACTAATGCATCTCCACATTCATCAAGTGAATGTTTTCTGTTCTTCCTGCATTTTTGTTTAATTTTTTTTGTTGGTGTCTTAATTCTGTCGCATCTCCCTGCTGTTTGATTTAGCCATTTTTTAAATTTGATTTATTATGTCATCCACCCGGTTATAGAGTGAATTTTGGTTATCAATTTTAAGTTCACACAGTCAGAATTCATCAAATTAAACGGCTAACTAGGGACTTCTGGTCTGTGTTTCCTTATTACGTACCTGTTTCTAGGCTCTGAAAGGCAGCGTTTCTACTTCATGTTGTAAATTGATGACTGACTCAAGGCATCACATTCATTATCATGCCACCTTTTGGTATTGTGTATGTATTACATCTCAGATCAATCCTGACTTTTTTTTGTCTTCAAAGGTGTTTTCCATTTTCTGTTATACTTCCACAATTCAGAGGGACATCTTGCACTTTTTTACTCCACTACATTTATTTGATACTTTTTGTTCATAGTAACCTCTATATTCAGATTACAACTGCTAAATAATAATAATAATCAACAAATAAATTAAGCGTATCATTATGGATAAAGATAGGGCTTTGTTGATCCATTGGTGAGATTCACAAGCTACCCTACCGCATACATAGCAACAAAATAAGCCCCATATTTACCAGCTGCAACATTGAAGTAATATACATATTAATGCACCAATAATCATAAGCCAGTGATATTGTGTACTTTATATTATATAACAGTTTTTTTATGGTAATACTTTTGTACTTTTTTGGTGCAGCAGCACCTACAGTATACAGAACGATGAGAACGCAGTCACATTAAAGACAGTTAATGTTTGTCCACCAGATGTCAGTGAACACTCACTTGTCAAGTTGTTGAAAGCTGCATGTTGCCATGCTGTTGTTTTCTACAAAGGCTAGGGAGAGAGAGAGAAAAAGCCTCCCCCCTTTTATAAAGAAGCAGACAAAAATAATTATTTCACTTTCCAATATTACTACCTTCCTCTCACCTGTTAGGCTTTGTCTTACCCAGTTATAATATGTAAATAATCACAAACAGTAAAAGGGCCACGGGTTCCAATCCGGGCCACTGCCAAGGGTTCGGTCTACATGGTCCACACACTCCACCAGGTGGGTTAGAGAACACCCCTTTGTTAGTCCACTTGTTATTTGTGACTGCAGCATAAGTAAGAGGACAAGGGAGCATGTGATGCAAAATACATTCTCCGCAGTCTTTTAAACAATCGCACTCTTTTGCATCAATGTCTGATGTGATCACAACTTACGTTATACTAAGGAAACTCATAACCATGTGTGTTAAAAAAACTGAAAAACCTAATAAAGACAATAAATATCGGATTATGCTTCTATCAGGCTCTGGGCAGTTTGAATGTTAAACTGAAACATCTAATCAAATCTGTGCATGTTCTCTCATGACACATGACATAGTAGTCACTTAGTATCTAAGAGTTATAAGAATTGTTTGGAGACAGGGAATATTGTTGCATGTGAAAGTTGAAGTCCTTATTTCTCCATCAAAACAATGTCCTAATATAGTTTCAATAAAGAAAACATTTCCACTTATATAATACATTTGACAAAGTTCACAATATAGAGGAATGTAGATGACTGACATCTGAATGGGTTGTTAGTTAGATTTATGAAACTAAGAATCTTTCTAGGTATGAAGAAGTAAAAAATTGACATTGCAGAAGTGACAGCACAAGTAAAATAACACCAGGAAACTATTGCCCACAGACACACAACTCACAGCACATTGTGGAGTACTTCATTAATAATAACCAAGAACATAAGCTAAAAAGAAAAAGACTGGTCATCACAGTGTGTTACAGTGTCCGGTGTTTCTGGGGAGAAGCAGACGGAGGTTAGGCCCTGCGAGCTGCTGCTCCATATTGTGACAGTTCGGAGGTGGCAATGCCCCCCCCCTGACCCAACCCCCCTCTCTTAATACCACCTGCTAATCCATCTGCAGGATTACTGTCCACTGTAATCACTCATCCTCCACACTGACACACCTCACCTCACTCTGCAACTCCTGACTCGTTACACACACAAACACATGAAGTACCTTGCATAAGAAGTTTTTTATGGCTGTAGTTTTTTATGGAATTCGGTTACACACATTTCTTTTCAGTTGATCTCACATCCAAAATGCAGTAGTGCAACCACAACACCTGAAACACATCTCAGGATCAACTCTTGTACCAGAACACGCATTTGTCTCCCAACAGTAACACTCTCAGTACACAATGACCTAAAACATGAACAACAGGTAGCATTACAGCATGCAGCACTGCTGTCTTTGAAGTAGCTTTTACAGTTTTTGCCAGGACACAAAAACTGGTACTTTTTAATCAGCTATGCTGAACCATAAGCACATTGTCCGCTTTACATTAACTTTACAATTTTAAAACGTACTTTTTTACAAAAAACTACCCACATTCAAAACTAAAAGCCTGTGTTGTTTCCACTGCCATTGAAATACCACACTCAATCATCACCTGTACCCAGAATGCACCTGTGAAAACACCTTTAACCTATTCGATCACTTAGAAATCAGAGCTTGAACTCTATGAACTCAGGTTTGCCCTTTGGTGTGAACCACAAAGAGGACTGTAATGACAGCATACTGTATTTAGTTTATAGTACAATACAGTAATATGTTCATGTCATCTTAGGGGGATACAGTACAGATGCATTGGGTAACTAACAGATATCACCATAAAACTTTACTCAGTGGATTTCTTACATTAAGACAATTTTCTTTTTGTATCTTTAGTTTTCTGAAATGTTATGCTTAAATATACAAATGAGGCATTATCTAATGGTAACCTCTGATGAATTAAGGATAAATTGACAAAGTAGTCAAATAAACACCTGAATGTGTATTTAGGATTTTTTCTTTCCACTAGTCTGAAAGAAGACATGTTATGGAAGCAAAATAGCCCAAAATCTCTAAATAGACCCATGCATGAAAGAAACGATGTTTTTGCCTCAGGTGTTTCACCTTAGTAATTGTGTTTGATACTGTTGTACGTGAGTATAAAAAACACATTGCATTTGTGTTCATTTTCTATATTTATAACATGCTACAAATGCACATAGTAATAGTGTTTTGTACTCAGCACATCGGTGTGCAGTCGACATGTGGAGAAAGCTGTTTACTTGGTGTCTGTGTGCCAAGTTGTGACTTTTTTGGAAGAGTTGATACAGTTTGAGATGTTAAATATTTGTATGTTTATGTTTTTGTGTATCTGGTTAAAAAAAGAGGGCCCTAGTTTCAGAAATTGTGTTTTTGCAATTGCAAATATAATAATAATAATAATACTGCCGATCAAATCAGAAATGGAATCATTTCAAGAAGGGGTGTCCTCACAGCCAGTGAACAGGAGGAACAATTACAGCAAACACTGACCCGTTCAGGGTACATATGGCTTTTGACTAATGATTTAAGTTAAACTGGTCCTTTATAAAATATCAGCTGCCACAATGAGAGTGTCAGATTCATTTAGACAGGACATGTTAAATCTGAAGATTATATTGGGCTTCACGGTGACTCGGCAGGTTGAAGAATCTCAGTTGTGCCGGTATCACAGCTGTCTACGTCCATAGGACTGTCTCATAAACCACAAGTGATGTTGAAACCATAATATAATACTTTTTTGACTTGGACTGAAGTCGCTTTTAAATTGCACACACAGTGACTTGAGACTCGACTTGTGATGTTTGATAGTCGAGAGGAATGTGTGAAATACAGTAGTTGGAGACCAAGTGCAATCACAAAATATGGTTGCACTCTAACTGGTATTGAAAAATAGTTTGAGGTTATAATTGCATGCCTAATAATGTTAGCAATACTTTCCCGTTACCCTGAGTAATACTGTTATTTGCTTTTAAAGGAAATGTTCATGTTCAACAGCTTGTTTAAAGTGATCACACACCAAACAACTAATCAATGCTGATACTGTACATGCTAATATAAAAGAGTGAGGATAGAGTATATGCTTAGTAATCCTCAGATGTATCTGTTCTAAGAAGTTTGGATGGCATGCAGCAGATGACAGAACGCTCATTACAACCTGAATAGACTTGACTTGGCGGTGTGATAGACTTTAATGTGTATTTCCAGTCTGACAGTATGGAGCTCCAGCTGATACGAGTCCTCACTGGACGGGAAAGGGGGATGGTGGTTAGTGGAGGACTGCTCTGAGCTGCTAGTGGCACCTAGTTTGCACAGAGGAGATTATTAGTGTGTGTGTCTGTTTGTGTGTGTGTGTGTGTGTGTGTGTGTGTGTGTGTGTGTGTGTGTGTGTGTGTGTGTGTGTGTGCGTGTGTGTGCGTGCAGGGTGAGTGATTGGGGCTGACAACAGCCTCTGTATTGCTGGCTGGCCCTCAGATTTAGCCGACCTGTTTTAGACGCTCTAATCTGGATTAACTGCAGCAGTGTGTCAGTGGGGACGAGGACCGGAGCTCCCCCCTCCCCTTCTGCCCCTTCACCTGCTTCTCTTCCATCCCTCTCACTTC